TGCCAGCAGCTCAGCTGTACCTTCCCCAAGCCACCAGGGATAAATTCAAAAAGACACACTATTAAGGTAATTATCTTACCCCAAATGATTGTTAATTATGGAGCCCTCATTATACACATCCCAGCCACAGGTTAAGAATCCAAGGAAGAAGCATGTGAGCTCAAAATTAAGTACTTTTTTCCCAGGCTGTGAAGGATTCCCTATGCAGTAACACCTGTTGGAGAACTCGATCCATTACAGGGCCAAAACTTCCCTATAAACCCTTTTTTTGTAGGAAAGGGGAATGGCACACAAACAAGAGGAGGAAACTATTCCAAGGACATGAAGAACTGGGGACTTTTTCCTGAGACTCACAGGAACATGCAGGGCAGCAACAGCTCTCCCATGTCTGAGAACTAGAAAAATCCAAGGGAGGGAGGAGGAAGCTCTCCTGGATCAACGCCATCACCATCTGCCACCAAGATTTCTCCTAAAACACTGATTTTTTTTTTTTTTTTTCCCAGCAGATGAAAGCCATCCAGAGATTTCTCCCTTTTAAGCCTCTGAAGCAGTTTTTCCAAGAGAGCTGGTGCAGATCTCCAGGAGCAGCAGGAGAATTGCTGGCATCCAGGAGCCCTCTGGGCATCCCCGAGGCTGAATCTGCTCTCTCAGAAGGTTCTGCTGGAATAACCAGACAGCAGCAGAGATGCAAACTCTGCCTCTCATCACCTCCTCCCTGCTGCTGCTTGGAGCTCTGGGGGAGGGAAGAGCCTTGCAGGTCTCCTTTAACAATGGGAAGGATGGAAAATCCCAAGGCTGCCATGGGAAGCACTGCATGGACCTGTGGGGTCACCTCCTGGGAAGGGTTTGGGTGTTCCTTGGGTGTTTGGGCATTTCCAAGAAAGGCAGAAAATCTTCTGTTCTCAGCTCCAAACCTCCTGCAATCTGCCTCCTTAGAGAAATGGTTGTTTTTCAGAGGATGAGAGCCATGAAGCCCATTCTCAGTGAGCTGGGCAGGCAGAGAAGCTGTGGCTGCCTCATTCCTGAAGTGTCCAAGGCCAGGCTGGAATAATTTGTACTAAAGGAAGGTGTCCCTGCCTTGGCAGGGAGTGGAATGAGATGGTCTTGAAGGTCCCTCCCAACCCAAACCATTGGCCTGACAAAGTTTTGCTTTCCTTGAGCAATTTTAAAAGCAGCTCTCTCCATATATTTTCATATAAACAGTTCTTTGTCTTAAAAACAAACCTTCTCCTCAGGGGCAGATCTATGGATATGCAGCAACAAACAAAGCACTGGTCTGCCAACAAAGTTAAGGGCTCCCAGCTCTGGCTAAATAATTCCAGAAAAGCTCCAGGATACTCTGTGTGCCCACAGCAAGAGCTGCCACCCTCCCTTCAAATCCCTTTTGCAGTCAGACTACTGTAAGATCTTCAGGGCAATAAAAAGAAATTGCCTTTATCTGATATGTAAATTACTTCATAAAATTGGTCACTGTGTAAATAAAAAAGCCCTCAACAGACTTATTCTGGAGGCTGCAGAACTGTCAAGATGAAAGAGGTGATATAATTAAAGATCTCCATGGTGGATTTTCATCACAAAACAAGCAGCTCGAGCTGCATTTCAGTGATCCTTAACTTCTGAGCCAATTAAATCAGGAGCTAAAAAGATTAGTCTGATGATTTAGTTCAGTGTGTGACAGCACCTCTAGGCTTAATCTGAAATATTCAATATTATATTTTAATAGTGTTACACCATGCTGGAAATTTTACAGCTGAGAAAAAAATACAATTCATTAACATTTAATATAAAGTGACACTAAGTCTACATCTCCTCCCATCCCTAAAAACAGGCTCTGATAGGAATTTGTATTTCATACACCATTCCAAAACAGAAAAGCATATTTAAACATCAAAGCTTAAATTTTGTACTACCAAAGAGCTGACAAAACAACATTTTATTTTTACCTTTTCTTGGATACTTTTTAAATTGAAAATTTAAAGTCATATGTCCATTATCTCTTTGCATGATCCTGACAGAAGATACTAAAACTTCCAAAAAAGGGATCAGTTGAAGAGAAATAATATTTTCTCAAGGAACAAACAAACAAGCTACATTTTGCCCACCAGGGAAATAGCCTAAATTCAGCTCTGTTGAATACCCCAAGATTTCAGGATGAGCAGGGAGAGGGTGGAGGAAGGGGGAAAGCTGATGAACTGGAACAGTGATCTCTTTCTCTTAGAAAAAAGATTCATTAAAAAAACATTGCCCTGCTCATTATGACCATCATCAGGTTTCTGCTGGCACTTCACCCTGCCCACAGCCACAGCTCCCTCAAGAACCATGATGGGAATATCCTCATTATTCATCTGGAGTGTTCCCAGTGCAATTTTTAAGTATGGATTTCAATAGTGGCACTGATAATTCAGAATTTTCCTGTGTTGTTCCTGAAACTGATAAAGTTTTGTGCATGGCATGTCTGCTGCACTAATAACCCTGTCAGACTTCCCAAGGTAACACTCCAAAGCTTCAGCAAACCTTCACTTTGTGTTTTCAGGGACATTTCTCAGTCCCTCCTAAGAGCAGCAGCGCCCCTGACTTCTGCCAGGCACACAGAAAATCCCAGTGACTGCAGGAAAGCCCCTCAAGTGCACCAGGAAACATTTCACAGAATCATTCAGGCTGGAAGAGACCTCCCAGATCAATTCCAACTGTTAACACAGCACTGTCACCTTCACCCCTAATCCATGGCCCCAAGCACCACTTCCACATGGCTTTCAAACAGGGAATTTCCATTTCCAGGGAATTTAAAAGCCCACAGTGCATGAAGGCACAGAGCTGGCACAGTGGGTGCAGAGTTTATTTCAGATCTATCCCAAATCCAATCCTCTTCCCTGCTCTCTGCAGTGAGACAGCCCTGACTGTACATTACAGGCTCAGAGGGCTGAGGAGGAAGGAGGATCTGCCAAAATCCTTTCATTCCTGGGGAAGTGGGGCTCATCTGCCAGCACAGCCAGGCAAGACAAGCCTCAAGGTCACCCAGCTCCTCTGCCACATGCCAGCAGCACACAAGTGGCAGCTAAAGTAGGACATTTTTCATCCCATACCCATTAAGTGCTTTCCTTTCATTTTGGCTTGAGTCTTCCTTAAGGTGGGATGGAGCATTTAAACTCCAAAACAGGAATGATTGTCACATCAGGCATTGTCCCTGAGATGAGGGGGACAATGAGAGACTCACCTGCTCCAGCCCAATTCTCTTCCACTTACCACAAAAATAATTTAGGAAAATTAGACTAGATTGTAATCCCAAATCCCCCCATGCTCACCTTCCAGACTCGACCCAAACCCTTTTTTTGAAAGCTGCCAGAACACTCGTTTTCCTTAAAGTATCCCATGCCACTCTCAGCATCCAACTTTAATCCACATTTTCCAGAGAAGGCACAGAAACTGCCCTGAGCAAGGCAGAGAATTATCACCTAACACAGAGCCCAGTCCTCCCTCATTTTCATACCAGAGATCTCCTTCATGTCCCTGCAGCCTTTGAACAAGTCTCTAATTAACAGCCTCACGGTCCTCTATTCCTATTTTTCACATTAAATACCTTTCTCACCAGCAATCAAAAAAAACAAGAGCAGGAACTCTTAAAACTTAAAAAAAAATGGTAACAACAATGTCTCAGCACTGCCAGTCACAGCTGAGATGCAGCAGAATCCTGATCCCTGTTTCCAGCCCAGATTCCTTGCTCACACCTCTTTAACAGCTGTGCAGGTACCAAGGGATTACAGCGAGGCTGGTTCATTCTCAGGGTATGGCAATTTCCTTCCAGGAGGAAGGACTCCAGCAGAAGTCAGGGAATAATCTCTTGGTTATTCCTCAAATATGGCTGAAGTCAGGGACAGCCACGGCACCTGCACAGCAGCTCCTGCTGCTCCCAAAATGAAGGCTGCCATCCATTTTGCTGTTTCCAGAAGGACATTTACAAACGTGCTTCTAGGCATTTTTTTGCCCTTTAGAAAGCCTGGTTTGATCTGTGTCCAGCTCCTGCCAAACCTGTCAGGTTCTTCCTTCCCAAAATTTAAACTATTCCATTTGTTCTCCATTGCTTTGCTTTCACAGTTACCAGACCAGCCCCACAACCTCAAACCTTGGTGTCTCCATCTGTCCTGCTGTGTCCTTTTCCTCACCCTCTGTCACCAGCTGCCTTCCCTTCCTTCCCATCCAGGGTCCCCAATTTGGCAACCTCAGCATCTTCCACAGTCCCATCCCATGTCCTGCCCCACCAGGCAGGTGTCACCTCACCCTAAACCTCCCAGAGCTCCTGGAGTTCAGCTTGTCCCACCCTTCAGCCCAACCTGAGCCCATGTCACTGTCCCACTGTGTCCCACCGTGCTGTCCCCAAACTAGCCTTGCAGTGCCCATGCTATCACCCAGCAGTGCTGTTCTCAAGCTGATGATGCTGGACAATTATCACTCCACCGTGTCCCTCCGTGCTGTCCCCAGACTGGCCATGCTGGACGAGTCACTCTGTGTCCCCATGGTGTTCCAGCCTGGCCATGCTGTGCTCATACCATCACCCCACTGTGCTGTCCCACTGTACAAAGCCTCACCCCACCGTGTCCCTCCGTGCTGTCCCCAGACTGGCCATGCTGGACAAGTCACCCTGTGTCCCCATGGTGTTCCAGCCTGGCCACGCTGTGCCCATGCCATCACCCCCCTGTGGTGTCCCCAGCCTGCCCACGCTGTACAAATCCTCACCCCACCGCGTCCCCGCCGTGCTGTCCCCACGCTGCCCGTGCCGTGCCCGTGTCACAGCCGCCCTCGCTGTCCCGGTGTCCCCAACCCTCCCCGCTGTTCCCCGGGGTCGCCCCCGGCCCCACCTCCCCAGACCACGCCCCTGCTGCCCCACCCACCGAGGCCCCGCCCACATGGCTCATTACCATAAGTCCCGGCCCCGCCCATGCTCTGAGCCCCCCCCCCGCCTCTCTCCCCCCGCCTCGCTGCCGTTCCCGCTCCCCCGCACTCACGCGGGCGGTTCTTGCGGACCGAGTCCCGCCGCTGCCGGCTCACGGACCCGCCGCGTTCGCGGGGTTGCGGACCCGCCGCGCTGTCCGCGCCCGCCGCGCCGCCGCTGCTCCGCCGCCGCAGCTGGGAGGGCCCGGCGTCCGCACCGCCACCGCCGCCGCCGCCCCGCCGCCGCGGCTTCTTCTCGTCCTCCGCACCATCGCCACAGCTGCGTGGCGGCTCCATGGGCAGCCAGGCCCGGCCCCATGGGCCGCCCGGCCCCGCTCCGGCCCCGCTCAGCCGCCACCGCCGCAGCCACCGCCCCCGGCGCGCCTGCGCCGCACGGCCCCGCGGGGCGGGACACCCCGTGAGGCGGCCGCCAATCCGCGCCCCCCGCGGCGCAGAGCGACAGGAGGATGCGCCAATGGGAGGCCGGGATTGCGCGGCAGAGGGGAGCTGGGCCCGCCCCCTGCTGTCGGCCGCGTAGAGTGACAAGCGCGGCTGCCCAATCGGAAGCGTGCGCCCAGGTGAGGCGGGCCGATATGCGGCAGCTCTGGCCTATGGGCTTTCTCTGGGGCTAGATTGACAGGGCAACCACCCAATGACCGAGAGAGCTGTCCGGGTGGGGCGGGAGAAGGCGCAGTGATTGACAGCCGGTAACTATGGCAACGCGGGGGGCCGAAGGGAAGAACCGCAGTAGGTTCGGCTGGGCTGGGCCGCGCGGAGGGGCTTATTTGAATATGATTTGCATATGCAGATGACGATGCATACAGACGTGGGGTGGTCTGCAACCCACCATGGCGGACCTGAAAATCCACCTCGTTCCACCCCCTGCCATCTGCAGGGACACCTTCCACTCTCCAGGTTGTTCCAAGCCCCGTCCAACCTGGCCTTGGACACTTCCAGGGATCCACGGGGCAGCCACAGCTTCTCTGGGAAATCCATTCCAGGGCCTCACCACCCTCACAAGGAAGAATTCCCTGCTAAGATCTTAAAATCCTCAGCTCTCCTTTACATCCCAACATAATTCTAATATGGACACATCCCTGTTCTTTAAATCCCGATCCTACATTTATCGACAAGCGCAGCAGGAAATCCCCTGGTGGTGGAAAAATTGAGGCAACCATGAAGAGGGGTGTAAGCAACAACCAACAGGATGGAAATTCAGAAGGAAAACACAGATTCCCAGCCTACAGGATGCCATAATGAAGATTCCCATGTGGAATGTTAATTGTCTGTCACACCAGGCGTGGAACTGCAGCCCCACGGTGACCCAGGGTGCTCCTCACCTGCCCCGAGGTAATCCCAGCTCACCACAATCCTCAGGCATTAATTCGATACCTGAAGGATCAGCGACCAACATTCCACAAAGGTGTGATAATTTTTCCATGAAAATTTGCTGAATTCTGGTTGCCAGAGTGAAAAATGGGACAAAGGGATCAGCCAAATTCAGTTGGTGTATTTCAATATCCTGTTGGGTAAGTAGAGGAAGTGAATAAATGGGGTTGGCAGTAACAGGAGATAAAGGATGAGCTCTCTGAACACAAATAATCTCATTCAGAGCAGCGTTACTTTCATTTGGGTAAAAAAGGAACTGGCTGAGCTGTCTCTTGAGTATTTTCAACCCCTCGGATTGTTTGACACACCTGGGCTGTAAGAGCTGGAGAGCAGAAAGTGAGGGAAGCTTGTGGGTCTCACAGATTTGGGACACAGCTCTTGGGAGCATGGAGAGGGCACAGGAAAGGGCTGTTCCTTCCCAAAAGATTCCTGTTTGTCCCCAAACAGCACACAGTGGTGAGCCCTGGTTTAAAGATGTTGGTGCCTCTGTTCTGCAGGTCAGAGCTGTTTAGGGCACAAGGAAAGAGGAGCAGCACCTCCAGAGCTGAAGCCAGAGTGGCTAAGGTGGCCCAGCATGGACAAGGTGCCCATTTTCTGGGCAGGATCTCAGGACAGAATTGAAGCAGAAAACCTGGATAATGAATAAGCAGCACCCCGGCCTGAGTGGGTACCAAGCTCAGCACACATCTGTGTGCTGGTTACATCCACTCCCTTCTCTCCCAGCCTAAGCTCCTTGAGGCTCTGTTTCACCCTTCAAGTTTGAAGATGCTTGGTGCATTTCTCTTCCCAGAATTTGTCTGGTGTAGGCACACAGTGTGTGGTAATTAGGAGTGGGGCTGTGGCCAGCCTCATCCCCAATGGGCTACAGCTGTGAAAAGCAGGTGAACAGCACTGAAAATAAGGAGTGCTGACTTGTACTGACCAATCATACAGGGAACAGAGAGCACACAGGTGCAATGCATCAACATGAGGGGTGTAAAAGGTTGGGCTAAAGAACAAGGAGGGTAGATGCTTGCAGCCTTCTGCAATGCCATGGTGTGACTCTGTATGCTTAAAGCCTTCTGAAATTGCATGGTGACAACATCCTGACTTGTGTATCATGGCCATCTCAACTGTGACAGTCTAGTTCCTCCTTGGTGACAACATCCTGACTTGTGACAGCTCTTCACTGCCTCAGGAACCACCTTCCCTGTTTTCATGCTGAGCATCATCCAACCACCAACAGGAAGACCTGCCATGGTGGGCATTCTCTGGACCAGCTCCTGTGCTTGCTCCAGAATGAGGTCTGGAACCCTGAACCCTGTCACCTCACCCCATCAGTGTCCCTGCCAGCAGAGCCCTTCAGAGCATTGCCTCCAGCCACAGCATCAACAACCTCCTGCTCTTCGTCCCACAAATCACAACAAGGCAAGTGTGAAGCATCAAACCAATTTATTATAGTTAGTAAAAGGCTTTTTAGCCTGTTAGTACAAGATGTGCTGGGACACAGCTCCCTCCTGCACCATCTCCTGCCAATGAGGCTTTAAAGTGCTTCGTAACAACTGTGAAAATCCTGGCAGTTCACAGCAGCAATCTGAACGTGTGCTTTCCCCAGTCTGAGGTGGTGACAAACCAGCTGTTTCACAAGAGAAATCCAACATGAAAAGGCAAAGCGTACAAGCTGTTGCTTAAATGTATGGAAAAACATGGGAAGAATTTCACAGGCAAGTAAAGCATCAGAGAAGAGGGCCTTGGTATGGATGAGGCTGGTTTGGGATCTCATGGGTCTGCCCTGAATTACAGGAAGTGTGGAGAAGGCAAGTCCCCTCCTGTCCCTGCCATCAGGGAGTGATAACCATTTTATCTGTAATGGGAAGAGCAGCCCCACATTCCCTCTCCTGGCAGAGGGGGCTGAGTGTGTTTAAAGGATTGTCCCTTCCCCCTTCAGCACCAGGCACTGAGGAAGGAATGAACACCTCAAGCACTTGTGGAAAGCAGCCCTGACACAGCACATCAACACCTTCCTCTTGCATCTATTGGCTGTCCTTAGTTTCATGGAGGCACTTCTTGGGTTTTTGGGCAGAAGGAAACCATTGGGAGGGAGGAGCAGCCATTGAGGGCTGAGTGACCTTTCCCACCACAGGCCAGGCTCTGGGTGTGATGGGCTGAGCTCCCTGCCAGCAGGAAGAGCAGATTTTGGGAACTCATTCAGGATGAATAAGTTACTGGGATAAGGGGAGTGATTCTGCTCCTCTGCTCTGCTCAGGTGAGACCCCACCTGCAGTGCTGTGTCCCAGCATAAGAAGGGTGTGGAGCTGCTGGAGTGAGGCCACAGGACTGAGCCCCCTGCTCTGGAGCCAAGTTGGGAGTGTTCAGCCTAGAGAACACTCAGAAGAGACCTTCCAGCAGCTTCCAGTACCTGAACGGGCTACAAGAGAGCTGGAGAGGGACTTTGGACAAGGACCTGGAGTGACAGCACAAAGGGGAATGGCTTCCCACTGTCAGAGGGCAGGGACAGATGGGATACTGGGAAGAAATTCTTCCCCTGTGAGGGTGGTGAGGCACTGACACAGGTAGTCCAGAGCAGCTGTGGCTGCTCCATCTCTGGAAGAGTTCAAGGCCAAGCTGAATGGGGCTTGGAGCAACCTGGAGCAATGTAATTACTCCAAGCTGTTGCTTCTTCCCTGCTTTGCTGTATTTTAGAATCACAGAATGGTTGGGGTTGGAAGGGCCATTAATGAGCATCTCATCCCAGCCCTCTGCCATGGGCAGGGACACCTTCCCCAAGACCAGGCTGTTCCAAGCCCTTTGGACACTGGAAGGTGCTCCAAGGTCTCCCCTCAGATCTGGTATGGCCTCCCTGCAGTGCACAGTTGATCCTGTTTGTGTCCCAGCCTGGGCAGAAGGTTCCTGTACCCCTGCCCCATAGCAACAGGTATCAGGAAGGGCAGGAACTCCATCTAACCTTCCAACCAAGCTCCAAAAATCCAGCCTAAAAATCAAAGACACCCAACAACCTTTTGTGGGACCAAGTCTGCTTGAAGTTGGCATTGCCAGAAACATTCCTCTTAAACCAGAAACCCCTTTCCCTGCCTGGAGGGGGTGAAATGAGGCTGATCCTTGAGAATGCTGATTAGATGCAGCTCTTTCCTGACCCTCATGCTTATCCCCAGGGTCAGTACTACATGAACCAATCCCAGAAGGAGCAGCAGAGCCAGAGACACCAAGTAAGGCAAACTGAACATGAGACGTCCAGTGGAGGCTGCTGCACCCACCCTTGGGCACATTTTCAAGCCAAGATGAGCAGAGCCAAGAAAATCAGCTCTGCTGTTACAGGATATCTGCACCACCTCTCCTGGCTGCATTGCACAAAGGAACCTGGAGGTCACCTTTGGATCACCAGTAGATGTTTCCCTGAGGCTTCCTGGGACCAAACAAGACATGGAGAATCACCATAGTGCTTTTGTTTTTGACTCAATGGAACATTTTGGAGTGAGATCTTCTCCCTGAGAGGTGTAAAAAGAGAAGGCTACAGCCAAGAAGATGGCTGGGAAATGGGAGGGAACGGACCCAAACCCAACAGCATCACGTACCAAGGCCTCTTCCAGCAGAACCTTCCAGAAAAAAGATTTAACAACGCCCCTACTGCCCTTTGCTACTCTTCAGGCTTCAAATGCATTGGCCAAAATCCTGTTGCCAGAGGAACCCCCTGGCTGTGGCACGGTCGCGGTGTCCCCATCCGCTATTTCCGCAGCCGGGCGTACACAGCAAACGCCACGGCAGAAATGACACCAACAGCTGGAAGGATGTACAGCAGGGACAGGCCATTGCTGTCCCCCTTTGGGGCTCTGGCCCGAGGTGAGCTGGTGGCACTGCCAGAGCTGGAATTCATGGAGCTTCCATGGGTTGTGACTCCATCAGTGCTGGCTCCGAGCTGGACGCTGGGGTGATGATCCACGCGGAGCTCATGGGTGCCCAGGGAGCTGCTGTCC